ATTTCAATTGCTTGCCAACTTTTTCTAACTGGATTATAATTTTGTTCGATTAAATCCAGACTTGGTGATGCTATTAGTAGACCCACTGACTGCAGAGGTTCTGTTGCAAGTATATGACTAAATGTGAGTCCAACCCAATACGTTCGATTATAGTTGTATAATTGTGAGATCTGGTACGCCACATTGAATGGGAAATTGTGACAAAAATGGAAGTGCACAAGCCAAGTTATAAAAGACGATATAAGTATTTTATTATTCATGTGACAGTAATAACCGCAAAACCAATACTGTGTGGTGAGCTCTTATGTACATGTATGTGTATGTAGGCTTCTCTTTTGGATGTTCCATCAAACGCACAGATATTAGAAGAAGGATTGAGGGGGTATATTCTATACCATCCAACATTACTCATATGAAACTAGGGATATTCTGTTTACATAAGTGTCATTCCACCCCATGCCCATTAGACAAAGTCACGTGAACACCTCAAGCAGCAAATGCTGGGGATTGGTGAAGCGGCAGTGAGGTTGGGAGGTTAGGGCGGTGTGTACAAGGTGCCCTGCCCTGTATTAACTCATTGTATTCTTATAAGCTGTTTAGGACCATGCCCTCACAATGCAACATACAAACAAGAGCAAGGCAAGATATAAAGGTGCTGTAATGAGTATGGGTTGCTCATGCGTAAGATGCCGCCTCTCCTGGCTATGTTGCCTGGTTAAACCTTTCTGTCTGGACAGCCCTTCACTTCGTGGCTGCCTCAGTCGCTAGCAGAATCCGTCAGTGGGCGTTTCTTAAACCTTTTCCAACATAAAAGTTGTTTGACGCCAAGTCTCCTCCTACTCTCCCTGTGCTGAAGTCTTCTGCGCAGGGAGGGCGTGGGTAGCGGAGGACCCGTGCTCTCCCTGCTGGTGTCCGGTGAAGAGTCCTGGAGCCCTCTCGCCGATTCCCCCATCTGCCCCCCTTTATCCCTGGTGTTGCACTGATTTGCTTCCCCATCTGCTGAGCTGCCTCTCTCCCTGCTGGGCCCTTCTCCAGCATCATTTGAGAGCCTTCCCTCCGCCTCTAGCTCCGATGTCAGTTCCCTGACAGGTATAATAGCTACATGACCAAACATACAACATACTTTAAGAAGCTGTCCTGTAAAACCCAATTATGACCTAAGTTAAAGGTAGCATTAAACATAAAGGTCTTCACCGCTTGCCTAAGTGCCTGTACACATGGGGTAAGGCAGAAGTCAATAGGGAGGGAGGGTATGAGCTCATGATATAATAAGCCAGAAAATTAACAGTGAAATATTTGATTTTCCTATCCCTTATTTTTGCAGTCCCAAGCAGAAACCGACCTACCAAACCTTCAGGGAGCCTCTGTTCATACTGCGTGTTCTGTCTTCAATTTATGGAGGTTACCTAATTTGTGCAGGCCTGCTGCAAATTATCCCAAATTAAAAGCATGTGCATGTGTGCATAGTGATAACAAAGTCAGTTTATACGAGCTCCAATTCCAGTTCTTACCCGGGTGCTGCTGCAAGCCACTGCCAGACTCAGGACCACATATATATAATGGGTATAATAGTAACCTGCCATTTATTTTGGCTAAAAGAAGTAGATTGATTTTGAGCACATAACTCTGAAATTATTTGATGATATGTGTTGTGCTCTTAACTCTTAATATTGTATAGGTCACATGCAAGGACATGCAGATTGTTCTGAGTAAACAAAACTGCTCTGCAAGAAAGCTCATAATGCAAGTTGAAAATCAGTGTTGCTGGGAGCAATTGGGACAATCCTGGATAAAATGAGAAGCCAAAATGACTTCTGTAATTCCAGGAGTGTCCTGGGAAAATTGTGACACTTGAAGGCTATGCTAGCCTCCCCACACCATGCACAAATTTCAAATAGGTGCTTGGGGGGGGGGGTTCAGTGACAATCCGAGGGGGAAAGCATAGAATGCATGGTGGATTTGACTGTTTAAAGGAACTTTGTTTAAATTAAATGGGTTAATAAATATTTATAAACAAACAATCCTATCTTCCTCCTTGTACAGGTAATGTGTGAACACGTTGTGTGTGTTGGATTTTTGCAGTATGGTAGCGCTGCAGAGAGCTTGCTGGGGAGACCATGCATTAAAAAGGGACTCAAAAATAACTTAAACAAGGTTTTAATTACAAAAACAAAAACTCCTTAAACACTAAATACATTAACAAACAAACATGACCCAACCACCAACCCATCCCCCAGGGTAATGGGAGAGCTAGGTGCTGCTCCTTATATACTACACCCAATTGCCAACACAGCTTAATCAATACAACTCAGCAGCACCTGCTATGTTTCACAGCTATAAAGCTGGGTCTCGTTATCTTGCTCTGGCCCTTGCTTTGGCCCCTTAAAGACATACACCTCGGGTGGAACAATGATGAACCTTTACATATAAAGAAACCATTCAACATTTCCCCTGCTGTTCATCATTGTGGAACAAAAACATAAAGCATACTTTGTACATGTTTTTCATGTGTAACATTTGGAAGTGCTTTAGTAAAAATGTCTGCAATTTGATTGTCACCTGGAACATATTTAAATACAACCATTTCATCAGCAATTAGTTTCTTTACAAACTGCAAACGTAACCTTAAGACTCTAGTGCGCTGCGTATTGGTTTCTGAACATAGGATAGCGAGTCCACTCTGGGAATCAAGGTAAACTTTCACTGGTAGTGTTACTTGCATCTGTAGGTCTGCAAATACTTGCAGATACCATTCTACATCACGAGTGGCCTGAACGCATGCACATAATTCACTCTCTGTTGTGGAGAGACAAATAATGGTTTGTGTCTGGGACTTCCATTCAAATGGACAACCGTTATAACAAAACACCATACCAGACACACCCTGCAATTATTTTGTTCCACTGCATGAGATGCATCACAGAAAATTTCAAAACCTTTGTCAATACTTGTTGTAAACTGCAACCTATAATGTTTAGTATGTTTAAGGTACATTACCACTCTCTTAAGAGCAGAGAAACATTGCGTAGTGGGCTTTTCCACAAATTGATGCATCTTTTAACAAAAGTTTAACTGTTTCATATTTTACACTTGGTGAATAACACAAATTATAATCTTCACCTGGAATTTGTTGAAAAAACCCTAGCAACTAATCTAGCCTTGTACCTTACAACTTCATTTTTGTCATTCATTTTAACTCTATAAACCCATTTTGAATCAATAAGTCTCATATCTGGGGTTTGTGGTACAAGAGACCAAGTGTTATGCTCTTTTAAAGAAGCTATTTCAGAGTTCATAGCTTTATACCAATTTACAGCTTGGTGCTTAGGTAAATTCTGAACATCATTGTAGCTTTTTGGCTCAAAAACCGCCTTATTGGCATACACAGTATTAAAATGTTCATCTGCAAAACGTTGTGGCTTCTGTCTCTTTCTATCTGAACGTCTTAGTCCGGAAGGAGAGTCGGACTCCTCAGACTTAATGGGACTATGTAAACTCCTAGTTTCAGGTTGTAAATCATCATTGTCAGACTGAAGAGATGCCTGTGGGCTAAGCTCACGGTCAGAAAACTCAAGAGAATCTAACCTCCCCTCGGGTGCCTGTGACTTTAAATCATCAAACAAATTATCAGATTCAACAGGCTTTTCATCTTTTCCCATTAATTCAGAAGCACCATTTCCTGCTGCTGCTGCTTCTTCTTCTAACTCTTCTTCCTCAGTATTATCTATACCGTTAGTATCTTGGAAAATAGCAACGCCATTCCAATTTACAGTTTGTATCATGCTTCTGGTAATATGAAATTTGCCAGTTGCTGGTATGTAAATTCTGTACGCCCCTGCTGGTAGCCCATTAATTTTCCCTGGACACTACGTTCACCCAATTTCTGCTTAGCGGGATAATGCATTATTACATCTGAACCCCAAATGCGTAGGTATTTCAGATTAGGCGTTTTTAAACAGCTTCTCATAGGGGGTGACATCTAAACCAGAATGATAACTGCGATTCCTAACATAACAAAAGGCATTGAGCGCTTCAGCCCAAAAGTCTTTGGGCAGATTAGCACCGTGCAGATAAGTTTTAACCCCTGCCTGCAGGTCACGCTGCACAACTTCAACAAGCCCATTTTGCCAGGGACTTCGGGGCAAGATAACTCATGAGTAGTCCCCTGCGCTTCCAGGAATTTCTCAAAATCCTCAGAAACAAATTCCCGCCCGGTCAGAAAACAGGTTCTTAATAGGTTTGTTAAAATGTGTTTTACCCAGTTGCAAAAACTTTGTACTTCTCAAATGCTTGGGACTTCTCAGCTATTGCATAAGTCCAACAATATCTACTATACTGGTCTATCAGGGTAAGCCAGTACTTAGAACCTCCTAAGGATGGTGGGAGTGGCCCAACTAAATCACAATGTACATGCTCAAATGGCTCAGTTACTTTCCTATCTGAGCACTTACCCTTGCGTGCAACCTTAATCTTATTCTTGCAACAGGATAGACATTGCATAAAGAATTTACATGGTTTTAAGTTGAGGCCATTAACAATATTCTTGGTCTTAATTACATCAGCAAAATTCAGATGTCCCAGAATTCTGTGCGCCTCATGGACACACCCAGAATGTGGCCTTACATTCCTCAACCCCTGGCTTGACTGTGCTGCTCTGCAATTTATAGGCAATTGTGAGTAGGTGCGAAAATACAGTCTATATAAACCATCAGATTCCCGGGCATACAATAGACGTTTGTTCCCCTCGAAAAACTCACACATTGACTTTAAGAAACGCACAGTTATGCCTTGTCGAGCAAAACACCTTACTGACAATAAATTGTCCACTGATGGGCAGTAAATGCAGTTCGCTATAGTAATGTTTAAAGAGTTAAGTTTAACAGTACCCCTGCCAAGCGACTGCAAGACTTGTGAATTGGCTAAATGTACATTACCAATTTCCTCTTCGAAAGAAATAAACAAGCTTCGATCGTTGCAAACGTGCTGAGATGCTCCTGAGTTCACAATAAAAGAATTCCACTTGGCACCTTTAATTCTTTTACGATCTCTTGTGCTAGCGTGAAAAGCTCGCGGCTCGTTTCTGTCTTTACGGTACGATGCCGGCTGCTGAGCTGACGACCGTGACTGACGAACAGAAACAGACTTGGGAGTGCTTTGCTTTCTTTGGATCTGCAGTCCTTTGCAAAATGTCCTTGCTTATTGCAGAACCAACAACGCTTTGCAGCTTTAAATGCAGTTGTATCACCACAAGTTTGCATATGGCGTTCCTCATTCTTTCTGGAAATAGGAGTGCTTATGGCACAAGCCTCCCTTCTGTCCAACTCGCCCATTAATCTTGCCGTTACCCCTTCCACAGTTAATTGTGCTGGTGGAACAGCAGATATCTGGCTAGCTATACCATCAAAGTCCTCATTAAGGGAACAAAGGATGATGAAAACATACTGAATATCAGGTATCTCCATGTGACTTCGAATTAATTCGCCGCGTATTGCCTCCAGACGTCTCAAGTGTGCTGCCAAATCACCACCAGGCTGCAACTTCGTCTGGTACAACTGCTTGAAAAAACGTCAATGCAGACGCTGACTCTTTTCTAACATGCACTGCTGCAAGACTGTCCCACATTTCTTTGGCAGTTTTCTTATTTCTTATATAGACTACTTGCTGGTCGCTGACTGCCAAATTAATTATCGCCCTGGCTTTTGCATATCCTTTCGACCAAGCATTAGTTACAGGGTTAGGAGGGTCATCAGTTACATAGGTCCATACTTCTCTAGAGGTCAAAAGCGCCTCCACCCAAAAAGACCATAAACTATAGTTCTCATCTGTCAGCTGTGGGAAGACCAGAGCCTTCTCAGCTTCTGGAACCCGGTCAACCATTCTGGAACTCTTCCAGACCCAAAGAACTACGCTAACAGGAGAAAGAGTTTTCAAACCTTTCTCAGAGTCCAAAAATATGCAGTCATCCACTCAGCAGCTGGGCCCATAACCAAAGATGTTGGCTTTTTGCAGTATGGTAGCGCTGCAGAGAGCTTGCTGGGGAGACCATGCATTAAAAAGGGACTCAAAAATAACTTAAACAAGGTTTTAATTACAAAAACAAAAACTACTTAAACACTAAATACATTAACAAACAAACACGACCCAACCACCAACCCATCCCCCAGGGTAATGGGAGAGCTAGGTGCTGCTCCTTATATACTATACCCAATTGCCAACACAGCTTAATCAATACAACTCAGCAGCACCTGCTATGTTTCACAGCTATAAAGCTGGGTCTCGTTATCTTGCTCTGGCCCTTGCTTTGGCCCCTTAAAGACATACACCTCGGGTGGAACAATGATGAACCTTTACATATAAAGAAACCATTCAACAGTGTGAAGTAAATGTCCAATCTTACCTCCATGTCTACATTTCTGCTGTTGGGATTCTCAGACATTCGAGAACTACAGATCTTGCACTTTTTTGTTTTCTTGTTGTTGTACTCGGTGGCAATAATGGGGAATTTTCTCATTATTGTAGTAGTTGTCTTCGATCACCACCTTCACACCCCCATGTACTTCTTTCTTATGAATTTGGCCATGATGGACCTTGGAACAATTTCTGTCATGGTACCCAAATCGATGGCTATTTCTCTTTTAAACAGCAGGTTCATGTCTTATTCTGGATGTGTTGCTCAAGTCTTTTTTTCATATTTATTTGGAACATCAGATCTTGCCCTCCTAACTATAATGGCACATGACCGCAATGTTGCTATTTGCAACCCACTCCAATATGAGTTAATTATGAACAGAGGAGCCTGTATACGGATGGTAGCCATTGTATGGATTATCAGTCTTCTTAATGCCACCTGTCAGGGGTTCAGGGACAGAGGCACAGGGTAGGCAGGAGATGGAGAGCGATGGGGATGAATCCCAGGACAGCGAGGAAGAGGATGACAATGACTCAAGAGATTCCATGAGTCTTTCCAGCGAATCAGAGGATTCCCAGAAGGGGGCGCCGGTGGTCAAGGCCAGGGGAGCCCCAGGGGGGACGTGTCAGGAGCAGGGGGCCAGCGGGGGATCCCAAAGTGGCAGCTGGGCGTCAGGACCAGTCTCCCCGCCAGAGTGCAGCGAAGGGGGTGGAGGTTCTAGTGTATCAAGGGAAGCAGCTCCGGCAGCAGAGAAAGGAGGGAGGTCGGAGCAAGCCACCCTCCCGGAAGGGGAGGGGAGTAGTGAAGGGAGTAGTGTAACTGTCAAAAGGAAGGTTAGAGGTTGGGCGCGCGCGCCAAGTTCAAATGTAGAGGCGCGCGGAAGTACAGGGAGCCCGGAGGAGGGGCCAGGTCCCAAAGCCCGCAGGAGGGGGGAAGAGCAATCTGGGGATTCCGCGTCAGGGGAATCCAGGAGGGGCGAAACCCCAGCGGGCAGGAAGACCCTGCGGAAAAGAAAAGAGAGGAAGAGGTGGAGCAGCGCAAGCCTCTTAAATTGGTGCAGAGGAGGGACTGACTCAGAGGGGACTTCAACGGTCTAAGCGTAACAGACGTGGGGCTGCGCGCCTCGGATGTGAAGCTAACAATGAGCTCCAATAAACACTTTTGTATATAAGAAGAGATTGGCGTTGGTCTTTAGTGAGCTGAGACCTGAGGCAGCCGCGACACCACCCTACATGCTGGTTGCACCTTTGCAAACACCTTCTGTTCTAATGCTGTCAATCAATTCTTCTGTGAAATCCCAAGGTTACTGAAGCTTTCCTGCACTGACTTTTACTTAGTTGAAGTTGGGTTTCTTGTGCTAGGATGGAGTATAGGGCTCGGTTGCTTCATTTTCATCATCATAACATACATTCAAATCTTTTCTACAGTGCGTAGAATCCCTTCTGTTCATGGTCAGAAAAAGGCCCTTTCCACTTGCCTGCCTCACCTCATGGTTGTCTCTGTGTTTATGTTCACTGGAGTATTTGCTTATGCAAAGCCACCCACAGATGCTGCTTCTAATGTGGATATAGCTTTTGCTGTGGTCTATACCATCATTCCTCCCACATTGAATCCATTCATCTACAGTATGAGAAACAAGGAGATAAAAACTGTTATGTGGAAACTCTTAGATTATGGGCATTCTTCTAAAAATATATTTTGAGTTTTTAAAAATGGGATTGTATATTCAATGTGAATGTTTTGATATACAGTTTTTAACCTAGCACTCGAACCTTGGGGTGGACATTTGCTTTGCATGTAGGAAGTTCCTGCTGTAACCCCTGGCATCTGCAGGTGGAGGAATGAATGATTCCATATCTGAAGCCATAGGGAGCCACTACCAATCAGTGTCAACAATACTGAGCTAAATGGACCAATGGGCTGATTCAGTGTAAAGTAACTTCCTGTGTTCCTCACTCTGCAATGCAAATAGTCTTATAATTTATTCACCTTATTCTCCATGCCATTCATTGCCATTTGTTCATCCTCTTCACCCTTCTCCCCCCAAAAATGTGTTTTACTTACTACTGATACAAGTATAGTACAATTAGATATACTGTAACTGTATCAGCAAATACTATTTCCAATGCCTTTAGTAAGAAAATGAAAGTTCAAAAGCATAAAATGTATGTCCCCAAAATAATTATCAATTTTATTATATTTTTGCTTGCCACTCCGATCTCTGAGTAGTGTGAGATTCCAGGGGTTCCAGGAATTTATCCAGGGTTAAACTCACAGTACCTAGGAACGTAACCCCCACTTAATGGAGGTTGCCTATATAGAGCAATCAAATGTAACAAATATTCATTCTAATAAGAAAAAGTGTTGAAAAATGTGTAATTTTCCCATCAGAATTTTCAGTTTTACTGTAGTAGACAGTAGACAGAATCATACATTTTGATTGTGATCATTCTAAATTATAAAACTTGTTTTTTGATAAAATAATATATGATGTTGCAATCTTCCTTCTCTTATTTTGATAATATTAATTGCTAGAAACATTTCCCTTGCCATATTCCATCTTCCCATCAGTCACCCTGGAGACTGCCTCTACCTCTGGAGTTGTTAGGATCCACCTCTGGCTCAGTCCATTGGGATTTCTTTCCACTAAATAGTGCCATTCACTGCTCTAAGAGATACTGCTGTCAAAAACCCAGCCACCCTTGCAGTTACTTCCAGGCTAACATAATTAACAGGAAACTAAAATATTATCTTAAAGATATCAAAATAAAACATTACCAAAGGAAATCAAATGCAAAATGCACATTTAAAACAGCACAATTAGGAAGATAATATTATCATAGATACCACGCTCTCTGTATCCAGTATCCAGTATCCAGTATCCCGTAACTAGTTGTAATTGCACTCTCTAACCACGATGTGCATTCCCTGATGAACCAATTTATCATAGTTGATTCTTCCATGAAATAATCCATCATGGAATGTGGTATTCTGCCCCCACACCCCGTTCACACAAACTCTCACCTTTGCATTTTTCCAGCACTTTTATTACAGGTAATCCTAATGTCCAGTTTGCACATTATGGTCAAATATGCAAACATTATAAACTAACTAACTAAATAAATCATACCCTCACAGCAAGCTCATGAAGTACATTAGACCGAGAGGCAGTGACTCAGTGAGTTTCATAAGCTGGGTGAAGGGGATAATCTTTTCCTATAGGTCTGGAAATTTATTGGGTTTCTTGTTAGCAGTTCTATGTAGCACTTTTAAGATTCACCAATTCAGTTTGCTAACCTGTACATACGTATCACAGCTCATTGGCCACTCATTTATGACATTCTACAAGCCTCACTAGGTCCAATGAGCACCAATTGCCACCGACAGAGCCTGTTATATTAACAGCAGCGGCATTTTACAGGGTACCCTGTTAAAGGGGTCTTGAGGGGGAAGTCTCTGTCCATATAGAGCCAGAAGTGGTTGGCCAGTGGGCCATAGAGCCCCCCCCCAATGTTTGGGTTTCCCCATCTCTGAACTGCCCTGAGATCTCTGGGTATAGAACAGTATATAAAGAAGGAGGAGGAGGAGGAGGAGGAGGAGTGTTTTGCTATGGACCCTAAGGATCCCTGGGGGCAGGGACTTTGTGGCTGGGCATGCAACTAGTCCTCCAACCTCAGCCATAGACACTGTTGGTTAATGGAGTCAAAGGCAAACGAGAGTGAGACCAATTAATACAGCACCCAGGGTTTTGTTTGTTTGTTGCTAACATACTTTTGAATAAGATAAGGGAAAACAACACATTGATCTAATGTGTTATATCTACTGTGGAAACCAGCTACAGATAGGACCTGCCTCTCTTTGATCCATACATAATATAGTTTTGAATATAACAGGCTCTGTCAGTGGCAGTTGGTGCTCATTGGACCTAGTGAGACTTGTAAAATGTCATGAACAAGTGGCCAATGAGCTGTGATAAGTATGTACAGGTTAGCAAACTGAATTGGTGAATCTTAAAAGTGCTACATAGGACTGCTAACAAGAAACCCAATAAATTTCCAGACCTATAGGAAAAGATTATTCCCTTCACCCAGCTTATTCACTTCTACATCTTTTTTCCAAAAGATGTAAAAAGGTATTAAGTGGACTACAACCTGAGAGACCAAGGTTAAACTCAACCATGAAACTCACTGAGTGGGTACCTAAGGACGAAATTCTGATTTCCCTGCTTGACTCAAATCCCTCTTTAACTCACTCATCTATGCCAGAGCTAGAATCTTCTCCAGTTTCGTCCAGATATAGAAGTAGTCCACAAGTGATGCCCCTGAGAGAGTCTTCCGTAATTTCCACCTCCGTGATGCCCCTCAATTACCTCCTTCAAAGGAAACTGCGAATGTTACACCTCGGGACCCGCCGTCAGAAATGATTGAAGACCCGATGGGACGCATCAATAAAATAATCCGAATGTCGGATGACAAATCTGCGAGAGGGTTTACCCGACGGACTCAATTTCCCCCCTACCTGGGTATTTCTCTGTCAAGTTGTACCAAGAATTTCGAAATGAAGAGACTTCCTGTTCAGAGACCTACTTTCAGTGGATCATCCACGGTGTGCCAACAGTCGAACCAAATTGTTAAAAACTTTAATTTGCAGGGCGCCTCACAGTTACCATCTTCCCAAAGTAAAATAACTGACTTTTTTGTTACATCTTCTGTCCTTAACAGAGAGTCTGCCCCCCCCTCCATTTTGACTGTTAAAAGAACAACATAGAAGTCCCCAGCTAGCAGTCCTAAGTTGGAACATTGCTGGCTGGAAAAGGAAAAGATTAGATCCCGAATTTCTGTCCTATATAAACTCTTTCCAGATAATCCTTTTGCAAGAAACATGGGAAGAAGATAAAATAGATATAAATGGCTTTGAACTGATATCACTTCCAGCTATCCCCTCCCAGAAAGGTGGCCGGTCCAGAGGCGGTCTTGCAATCGCCATATCGCTTAAAATGAGAGCTAAACTCTCGCTAGTTCATACCTTTCCTCCTTTTGCTTTTACTGGTCTGATTTCAAGTGAAAAATTCTCATTATTAATCACCAATGTTTATCTTCCTCCAGGTGGTCTGATATCAGACCTTCATTATAGATGGGATTCTCTGGAAGATCATTTATTGGCATGCTATGTTAAGTACCCTAATATTCCATCGATAATGGGTGGTGACTTCAATGCACGTACAGCTGCCAACTGGAATGGGATAATTAAGGCCAAGTGGTGGGTATCTCCCCCCTACCCAAAATCTGATTTAATCTCTTTCACATCAAGAAGATCTAAGGACAACAGAGTGAATGAGGCGGGAGTCCTTCTTTATCAATTGGCCATTCGTATGAATTTGAACATTCTAAATGGCAACTGCCCTCCGGACGTGCCAGGTGAATTCACTCATTTGGGCACAACATCAAATAGTGTCCTAGATTATCTTCTAGTCTCAGAAGACCTATTTTCAAATTTCTTTTATCTCAAAGTAGATAATGTACAATCCAGTGATCACCTACCTCTAGCGGCCAAGCTAACGCTTGACTGGCACCCGGTTAGCGGAACACACCCAATTCATGTAGGTTTAAATGCCACAGCTCAAGTAAGAGGCATTAAATGGTCCATGAAACAGGCCCAAAATATGCAGAATTCTTTCAGAGGAATAGCTCCGAATCCCTTATTGTTTCATTGGCGGAGCTGTCTGAACCAAATAGGATACTGGAGTGGTTCTTCCACTTCTCTGCAGATTTAACTAGTTTCTTTACGATGCCGGCTCACCTCGCTAACCGAGATCAACCCAGGTTCGGTGCACCTTGGTTTGATGCCAAATGTAAGCAAGCTAGACTCTCTCTCTGTTGTATCTACAACAGATATAAAGCCTCTGGAGCTGAAACTCTCCCCCCAGAGTACTTGCAGGCCAAAATTGCTTACAAACAGGCTCAGAAGTCAGCCAAGCACGAGTGGCAGCTAAGACGTTGGCAAGCGCTGATTGCTGCCTCTAAGCTTCGCAGCTCTCGCGGTTTTTGGAATTTAATCAACAAAAGATCGAGGAAATACCCATTGACGGTTATCCCAGCCCCGACATGGGAACAATTTCTAAGAAAATATTTCTCCCAGACAGACATCTCTAACATCCAATCTGATACTCTCTCAAGTCACTTGCCCATATGGCCAGATACTGACCCGGAGGAAATAGTAGATTTAATTGCCAAACTGAAAACTGATAAAGCCCCAGGGCCCGATCTGATCCCGGCGGAAGCTATTAAACAACATCCAATATGGTGGGCTAAAATTCTTGCAAAAATCTTTGATGCAATCAATGCCACGGGCCAGATACCTACATCATGGAAGGAGTCCATCATAATTCCTATATATAAAAAAGGACCACCAGAGGACCCAGGAAACTATCGTAATATCAGTTTATTATCAATCATCGGAAAAATCTACACTCGCTTCTTGCTAACCAGACTAACCCAATGGGCCGAAGATTCCAATCTGATAGGCCATGAACAGGTCGGGTTTAGACCAAATCGCGCTTCTATTGACCATGCTATAATTCTATATCATTTGGCGCGGAAATATTCTTCCCCTACTCATGGTCTTCTATGTGCCGCTTTTATAGACCTGAAGGCGGCTTTTGACAGTATCTCTAGAGAGCTGTTATGGGAAAAACTGGCAAAGTGGGGCATAGAAAAAGGCTGTTGTGGCTATTGATTAAATTACATGAAGGGACGGCTGCTAGGGTGAGGTTAACACCTGAGGGCGATCTAACAAACTCAGTTCCAATAAACAAGGGGGTACGACAAGGGTGTATCCTTGCCCCTATCTTTTTAACCTCTATATTAGTGACATGAGGACGCCCCTAGCTGAGGCCCAAACCTCCATTCATGCACCCAGGCTTGCAGACTATCGCTGCCCCTTATTATTGTACGCTGACGATGCGGTGATCCTCTCTTATTCTCGAATCGGTTTGAGGAGGGCCCTTAAGATTTTTGCATCATATTGCCAAACAAATTTACTTACTATTAACCATTCCAAATCTAAAGTCCTAATTTTTTCCAGGAGTCGTAAACTGTATAGATGGGAACTTGAGGGGAAGCCAATTGAACAAGTTTACAAATTTCAATATCTAGGAATTTACTTCCAGTATAATATGGGATGGAAAGCGCATATCACATATTTACAAAACAAGGTGAAAGCCCTTATCTACGCTATACTACGCTTCTTCTTTACTGAGGGGGCTATGCATGTTCCATCCGCCTTAAAAGTTTATAGTGCAAAAGTGGTTGCAACTATGGCCTATGCGGTCCCTTTATGGGGCGTCTTTGTAAACCTCTTGCCTCTGGTGACATTGCAAAATCTTTTTCTAAGACGCCTTTTGAAACTACCCTCCTGTGTAAGCAACTCTGCCATTCGCTTAGAACTTAAGACCCCCTCCCTTGAGATTCTGATGTGGAGACATGCCTTTAATTATTGGCTGTCCCTTTGGCATAAATTGCCAAACTACCATCTTATTCAGTGCCTTTGGAGAGATGAATTCACCAGCCCATGGGCAACAAAAATCCATTCCAAACTGTTGTCTTATGGAATCTCTCCCTCCGATATACTTAATTTAGATCTAATTACAGCTAAAAAGGTCATCAAACAAAGATTGGAGGATGTAGATTTACAACAAAATCTTACCACAGGTGGAGGTACATGTTCCCCGATATATCAGGGCATTACATCTATGTCCCAGATACCTCGATATCTGTCTACTTTATCGGCTGCGTCGCATAGATTCGCATTTGTTAGAGCCAGATTTAATGTGTTCCCCTCAAATGTGCTGAGCAATAGATTTTCTAACGGTAAAATCTCTGTTTTGTGCGCATGTGACAACAAATCGATAGAATCCCTTTATCATATCTTGTTTAATTGCCCCTTATACAATGTTCCCCGATCAAGGATCCTGAGTTCAATCATCCTGGAAATTGCTGCTAAACCACCTGAATTACATCTAGCTTATCTACTCCAGGACATTGACTCTTATAGAACTTTACAGGTTGCTAGATTCCTGATCTCAGTTCTGTCATATAAAAGACTTCAGGGAATGCTGCATGACTATTAAAAATTCAGTAAACTCTATGCACCATCTTTATCTTCAAGGCCATAACACGGTACATTTAGAGATTATGCGTTGAAATATTTTAGTTGATATTTTAGATTGTAAAATGCTATTGATTTTATCTATTGATTTTTATCTATTGATTTGTTTTACCTTGTGGGCTTATAGCCGAATAAAGTATTATCTTATCTTATCTTATCTCACTGAGTGGCTTTGGGCCAGTCACTGCCTCTCAGTCTAATGTAATTCATGAGTTTGCTGTGAGGGTATTATTTATTTATTTATTTATTTAGTTGATAATGTTTGCATATTTGACCATAATGTGCAAACTGGACTACCTGTATTAAAAGTGCTGGAAAAATGTGAAGGTGAGAGTGTGTGCGAATGGGAAGTGGGGGCAGAATACCACATTCCATGATGGATTATTTCATGGAAGAATCAACTATGATAAATTGGTTCATCAGGGAATGCACATTGTTGCATATGTGGTTAGAGTGTGCAATTACAACTAGTTACTGGATACTGGATACAGAGAGCGTGGTATCTATGATAATATTATCTTCCTAATTGTGCTGTTTTAAATGTGCATTTTGCATTTTATTTTCTTTGGTAATGTTTTATTTTGAAATCTTTAAGATAATGTTTTAGTTTCCTGTTAATTATGTTAGCCTGGAAGTAACTGCAAGGGTAGCTGGGTTTTTGACAGCAGTATCTCTTAGAGCGGTGACTCCAGGGTGACTGATGGGAAGATGAAATATGGCAAGGGAAATGTTTCTAGCAATTAATATTATCAAAATAAGAGAAGGAAGATTGCAGCATCATATATTATTTTACCAAAAAATAAGTTTTATAATTTAGAATGATCACAATCAAAACGTCTGATTCTGTCTACACTACAGTAAAACTGAAAATTCTGATGGGAAAATTACACGTTTTAAACACTTTTTCTTTTTAGAATGAATTTTCGTTACCTTTGATTGTTCTATATAGGCAACCCCCATTAAGTGGGGGTTACGTCTGAACGCACCACGAGTTTAAGCAAAATAATGTGTATTTGAAGCATCACTGAAAAAGCCTGTAAACACCTCTTTCCACCCCTTTCTGTGACATTTTTAGGTCACTTCTGGGTTCGGTGTGATGCACTTTTGTGAGGTTGAGCACAGATTGAAAATCTGTAAATGGCAGGTTGGCTGTATTTATGTCAGTTGTAAGTGAAATAAACAATTTTAAAAATAGGGTGAAATGACAATGAAAGACATGGAGAATTTCGTGGGGAAACTGGGTGGGAGGGAAATATGTATCACAGAATTAGGAGCACGATAAACTCTCTTCAGACAGGGCATCATTCCTGCCTCTATTTGGAGATGCCAGGGTTAAATTGAGAACTTTCTGCATCCATAGCAGATGATCCATCCCTGGAGATGTCAGGGATTATCAACGTGCAAAGCAGATGTTCTACCAAGTTCAAGGTAAAAAATTGCAGAGCCAAATATTAACATACCGAAACTGCAATATTCTGAATGAGAATATTTGTCCATTTAGCTCTGTAATGCCTACAATGGCTTTCAGTGGCTCTCTAGGGCTTGAAAACAGGAAACAATTCCTTCCCATGCCGTTTGAATTCAAAGGATTTATTTTATCAAAGGTTATAATTCTGGGTTAAAAAATTGCATATTAAAAAAATTAATAAAAAATTAAAAAATTAAAAAAATTGCATATTAAAATGCTCACACATTGACGGGTATATAATTGCATTTTTAGAGAACTCTAAATTGAGTTTTAGAAGGCCCCAAATCTAAGAGTTTCCACAATGCAGTCTTGATTTCTTTGTTTCTCATGCTGTAGATGAATGGATTCAGTGTGGGGGGAATAATGGTATATATTCCAGCAAAAGCAATATCGAGATCAAAAGAAGCGTCATTTTGAGGCTTTGCATAAGCAAAGATCGCAGTGAATATAAGCACAGTTACAACCGTGAGGTGAGGAAGGCAAGTGGAGAGGAGTTTTTTCTGACCCTGAACAGAAGGGATTCTGAGCACTGTGGAAAAGATCTGCATATATGTTATGATAATGAATATGAAACACCCTGTTCCTATACTAAAGGTTAGAACAAGAAGCCCAACCTCAACTAAGTAGAAGTCAGAGCAGGAGAGCTTCAATAATTTTGGGATTTCACAGAAGAACTGATTGACAGCATTAGAACAGAACGTGTTGGCAAAGGTGCTGCCAGCATGCAATATGGCAGCAAGAAGGCCTACAATCCACCCAATGGCTACCATCTGTATGCAGGCTCCTTTGTGCATAATTGTCTCATAGTGGAGTGGGTTGCAAATAGCAACATAGCGATCATGTGCCATGATAGTTAGCAGAGCAAAATCTGATGTTCCAAATAAATATAAAAAGAAAACTTGAGCAACGCATCCAAAATATGAAATATATCTGCTGTTTAAGAGGGAAATAGCCATTGATTTGGGTACCATGACAGAAATTGTTCCAACATCCAGCATAGCCAAATTCAGTAGAAAGAAGTACATGGGTGTGTGAAGGTGGTGATCAAGGACAATTGCAGCAACAATGAGCAGATTCCCTATGATTGCTGTCATGTATAATGCTAGGAACACAAAGAAGTGCAAGATCTGTAGTTCTCGAATGTCTGAGAATCCCAGCAGCAGAAAAGTAAGATTGTGCATTTTGTTCATAGGGCTTATTAACATGCTACCTGTACAAGGAAGAAGATAAGGATTGTTAGGGTACAAATATTGATTAACCAGTTAGATTTAAGCACAGTGCCTTTTATCTAACAATCAAATCTAATGGTATTCTTTGCTTAATTGATTAATAGGCAAATGTTGTAATGGCCCTTTTGCCCCCTCAGTTTTAGAACCATAGAACAATAGAACTGTAGAGTTGGAAGGGACTCCAACCCCCTGCAATGCAAGTATCTTTTACCCAACATGGAGCTCAAACCCATGACCGAGTTTAAGAGTCTCAGGTCTACCAACAAAGCTATCCCAGCATGGATATTGTCCTGAGAGTATCTGTGTCCATTCATTTTATTTTTATTTTTATTTTTATCATCATCATTATTAATATAATAATAATAATTATAATAATAATAATTATCATTATTATTATTTTCTATACCGCTTTATAGTTTAAAGAAAAAAATCTCAGAGTGCTTTTCAGCACATTAAAACATCAAATAAAACAATCCAGAATAAAACATTTTAAAAGAAAGTCAAATACAGTGGTACCTCAGGTTACAGACGCTTCAGGTTACAGACTCCGCTAACCCAGAAATAGTACTTCGGGTTAAGAACTTTGCTTCAGGATAAGAACAGAAATCGCACGGTGGCAGCGGGAAGCCCCATTAGCTAATGTGGTGTCTCAGGTTAAGAACAGTTTCAAGTGAAGAACAGACCTCCGGAACAAATTAAATTCTTAATCCGAGGCACCACTGTATATACAGTCAAGGCAACATGATTAACAGGAAACTAAAATATTACCTTAAAACTTTCAAAATAAAACATTACAAAGGAAGTCAACTACAGAATACATATTTAACACAAACCAAGTTAACAAAAGCACAAACATTTCAAAAGAAAACATTGCTAAATGAAGTCAAATATAAAATGCACCTTTAAAACAACATAATTAACAAGATAAAAAAACATTATCATAGGCATAGAACATATCTGCTGCTGTTGCTGCCAGTCCTGCCTCTACATCTCTTGCAAATGTGTGCAGAATGGCGTGAGACTATCCCCTCCACTCTTCACTTACAGTTATGCATCCAATGGAACATCAGAAAGGGAAACCTATGTTCATACATTTATATGTGTGTAAGAGCTCACCACACAGTTGTTGGCCCCAGTCATGAAGGGTTCTGATTAAGGTGCACTGAATACATGCACAAAACTACATGCTTCTTTTCTGATGTTTGGGTGGACATGCAGATGTCAGGGAGAAGGATGGAAGGATGGAAGAAGTTACTCATTGTAGGGTTGTGGAACAGATGTAGTTTAAAAGGGAGCCCAAAGAAAAAAGTTTGAGAACCACTGCTTTAGTTCAATAGTCTAATGAAATAATGAATGGTCATGGATAAATGGTTAAAGGAGAACATTGGTTCAAGGGCAATTCTGCAGAGGGGGAGAATCTGCATTCTCCATGAAGCCTAACCTACCTTGCAGGCCTTTTCTTAGAATAAGGTGGAGTAATCCACCTCCCCCATTGTCCCCATTGGGATAGACGGAAAACAGTGCAACTGGGCAACCCTAGGTTTCTTTCTAAAACTTATGCAGCAGAGTGCAGCATAGGAAATGACAACACATCAGCCACCAGCCTCCATGATGCAGAGAGATGTTGCCTTCCTCCAACCCTCACTACAAACTGATTTGGATGCACTGGCTCCAGTTTCCCACCTCAGATACACCACATCATTTTCACAGGAATTTTCATGGGGGGGGAGACATTTGTACCATTTTAGCTCAGACCTACGCAGGAGTAAGGGAACAGTAGTGCAGAAGGAGGAACAAAACAACTACTCACACCCTTGTTTGATGCATATCACAAGGTGTGCTTCCACATGGCAGTTTATTGTGGACTTGGTGCTGGTCATGCTCACGTCATCCACACAATTTTGTTACCATCAAAATTCCAGCCTATACTTTTCCTTTCTTTAACCTGGATTATCTGCATTGAGGTCGAAAAAATAACTCATCGTGCATCTGCTTTCCTTTCTGGTGTGGAAACTCCTAAGCACATTTTTGTTGTGAATGAATGGGCTGTTTCTCAGCTGGGTGGTAACTTTTCAGTCAGCAGCCTTTATTCCCACAACCCCACTTCAATTGACTCCTTTCATGAACAGTTTTCAAAAGATATGTAATGGTGGAAATCAATGCTTGGGGCTGCTTGCGCTGATCACAGAGCTGCTTTGTGCTATGTGATCTGCCCTGGACCTCCTAAGAGCTAGTCTACCGTCTCCTTGTGTAGTAATAAAATGTGCGTCAATACATGAAAAATGATCACACATGTGGTGAAATCCAAGGCTATTTATTTTGCAATATTCAAATAGTGTAGCCATGTCTAGATAGATTTCCATAGCAATCCATGTTGAATTGTGGTATTGCATTATACATAGGGCTGCCCTTCAGAAGCCTCAGTTAGTGCAGAAACTGACTGCAGTA